TCCCTCAAGCTCTTTGCTTGCCACGTTATTAGCTGGGCTGCTTGCTGAGGAGCCAATCTGATCAACTTATTTTACTATACAATGCCCCAGCTCCCGCTGAAAGCAGTTAAAAATTGCTTGTGATTGAGGTCATCTTTGCATCCATTACAGTGGTAAACACTATGTCTTTGACTGAGGACATTTCCAGTCCAAGAGTGAGCTTTTCTGCAACAAAGAGACGGAGCTTAGTGGCAAGAAGTGTAACAACATTTTTATGTTTTCAAAGAGCAGATCAATCTATAAAGTGTTTATTCGTGGACTGCATGTTCTCGAGCTGAATTTTGGTTTTTTTTGTCACGAAATAGATTTTTCTACAGTGTACAATATAAGGTGTCATGTCAGGCATGTTATGAAACTGTCGACTCAAATGACCATTTTACCCTTCCCATGTTAGTCACACTTTTTGTTCTGAATCACTGATAAAACATAGTGTTAATGTGAAAAATGCTTCAGGGATTTTGTCGGCTGTATTGTATTGCAGATATCTGAAATTAGCTCTAACTTTAGGTGGGGATGATTGGGGAATGAGCAAAAAGTAAAAAGTCTGCATAATATTTTTGAATATAAATTGAGGCTGTGATGGCAGGAGAAAATGCTATGTGGGGATTATTCACAGTTATATAATGTTAGGAAGAAAACCAGGCGCTTCTCATTTTGGTCACTTATCCCTCATTGTAAAGGTCTGTATATTTCATTGCTGGTGCAGCAGCTTAGGGGATACATTTCAAAGCAGCAAATAAAAATTGGCTAAACTTCCAAAATTAGCACTTCAAAGTCAAACATGATTTGCAGCGAGGGAAGGGGTGGAAGCAGTGTGACTGTGAAAGTGTGTTTGTAAAAAGCTAACTCAGTGTGTGTGCGTTTGAGTGTGTGTGTGTGTGGCAGAGCTGATGTGCAGAGTTCAACATTAGGCCTTAGAACCAATTTCTAGGCAAATTGGTTTCATTTAAGAATGAGATCAGAGTAAGCAAACCTCTTTCAGGGCAAGTTCATGCATCTGTAGCCATTTATTTCAGTTTTATATGCATTGCTTGGCACAGGCTGTTTGTAGGTAGAATATGCATAATCTTAGCCATGGGCACCATGCTATAGTTAACATGTGCACACTTACCTGTTATTACCATGAATTTAAATAGTTTCTTCCATTTTTATTGCATTCTGTCACAAAGAGCTTCAGCAGTAATTTAGCATTTTGTTTTCTATATTCCTTCCAGCACTGCTGTGGAATCAGTGCTAATCAAAGCCACTTGTAACTAATTGCCCTCTTCAGTCTCTTGCATATAGCAAAAAGCAGGCCTATTAGGCAGCAATGGAACATATGCTGAAATTTTAGAGTAGCTTTGAAAATCTGTTTATTTGCAAGGGGAATAACAGTCACTTGACCACAATTAGCATCTCTGTACATATCCTTTCATGTAAAAGATTAAGTGTACCCTGTATATATTATACACAAACACACACACAGACCTATAAATTTGGACAAGGACAGATTTAATCCATTTAAAAGTGCATGCACATAAAGGTGAGCTTTAGAAACATAACAATTTACATTTTTCTGTCATCTCCATAATTCGAGTTAATAAAAGACATCAGTCACAGGGAAAACTATGTACACCTCTACATTTATCACATCTTCACATCAATACAATTAGATCACGGGGCTCCAAATGAGATGCTGATAACTACAACATGCCCCAGTCACACAAGCCGCACAAGACAGCCACCATAGAAAAATGTTGATTCTTCTTTTAGCCGGTTGGCTATCGACTACAGTCGGTCGCTAGGTACAATTGGTTTCAAAAACCTGCCTGTGTCAGGTTCACTGCAGTTCCCCATAGTTTGCATGAAAGACGTTGACTTCTCTGCAGACACCTGCAGCTTCTCACCTCGCGGTGGTGAATCTGTAAAAAGTGCAATGCAAAATGGAAATGCTGCACCTTTTGAAATTAAAGGCATCCACTGTCACCAAAGCAATAACACTTTAAGGTTTTTACTGCAGCACCGCCAACCTCCAGCAAACTCAATCTCCACTTTCTAACCAGTTGGGAAATCTACCTTTTTCTCCCAGTGGCTGGAGGATGCCAGGGAGTGGCTGAACAGTCTCAAGGCCTGTGCAACTGAGGTCTAAATAAGTGACAGGTGTAACCCATATCATTTGAAAATTCTCATATCTAAGATATTGTGTTCTCTGTAATATTGAAGTATGCAGTGTCATCAAGCCAAGCCGGTCTTTGAGGCCTTCAGAATAAAAAAGGCTGTGGATGCCCACAAATCTGGCAGGGGATTTAAAAAGATCTGCAACTTATTGAAATAAGTCCGACCTGCCCCCACGTTGTCCAGAATAATTAAAAATGATGGCATTGTCGTGCATGTTTATTAAATATTTTGGGAGATAAATGTGAACGCGTGGGATAGATTTTTTTTATTTTGGTAAAAGAAAGAAAGGAAAAAGGTCTGTTAGTGCATAGATGCTAAGGTTGTGATTCATGTCCAGTGCATCCTGTAATTTCACTGCTTTATAACACCGATCTTTCTCTAAGCCTGAACACTGTGCTAAGATGAAAAGGTTTGGTCCTGGATGTTACAAAACTTGTAACATTGTATAGCTGTATAGTTGAGTCATAACAATAAAAAACCCCTCCTCTAATTAGTTGTCCTGTTGGGGTCACTACATACAATGCCTTTTGTATTATGAGCATGTTCCCTTGATCTGTAAAGAAGCCCCATTTAAGATCCACAAACTTGGTCTTCCACTGAGAAAGGAGTATTTTGTTAGATGGAAATGAACAGAACTGTTCAGATAATGATTATAATTCCCCATATGGCTGTAATGAGGTTGATTCCTCGCCAAGAGTTGGGCAACACACTAATTTATATAATACACTGGCAAGAGGTTACTTTTAATATACCTGAAATAATCAAAATGCATAGCCTATTATCACTTCCTTCAAGAAAACTCTCAACCATAAAATTAAATTCAGTGTAATTAGAATTGTTGCTGATGGATCCAAAATAAAACACAGAGTTACTAGTTTCACTTAGATTTTTTTGGCAGCCTTTCCACTTATCTGCTCTCCGTGTGGTTTTTCTATTCTACGTGCACCCTTTATGACCACGCTCTGCTGACAGCTGTCCCTATGTCAATATGAATGCCTGTCAAGAGAGATTATACATCACATGAGTCGAGGCAGATAATGAGCAAGAGGGAAGGGCACTTTTTAACACCCCCTCGTGTGCAACATATGACACCAGCCAAGCTAATTAAGCAGATGCCATAATGCAGTAATCAGGAACACAGAGGAGGTTTGAGAATTCACAAAGTTGAGTCATAACAGAGCAACATTTGGTGCTTAAGAACTTCTCCACCAACACAAGCAGATGGGAATGCCAAGCTGCAGTGCGTGTGTATTTATGTGTGTGACTATGCCTGTTTGTGCGCCGTGTTTTGCAATTATCGATGTGTACGTTTCTTAATAATATCTGTGTGCATGTGTTTTTATTACATAGATAGATAGACTGTGCACGTGCATGCATGCCAGTGCACACATAGCTGAATCGGCACGTTCCTATTACCTTTCAGTCGGGGACAGTGTTACTTGGTCAGGTTTTTTTTTTTCCTCATTATTTTTCAGCAAAATGAGCAATCAGCCACATTGCAAAGAGCCTGATTGTTTCCCCCTGTAAATCAATCCAAGAATTGCAATTAAAATGTTCTCTTATGTGGTATAATTGATGCCTACCTAATCCTTTATTTGCACACCTGCCGGTGAGTCTGAATTTTTAATGAATTTCTAATTAATGCTCTTTGCACACTTGATTTATGTGTTAGCAAATTATAATGATGTTCTGTGTCCTGCTGGTAGGAGAGTTCTTCGCAGATTGGCGAGCCTCGGTGGAAATCTGAAGTTTGTTGGACACACTGTTGAATGAATAAGAGTTAATACACACATGGAGATTAGTCGTATTAACCCCAAGGGCATTCATGTATTTGTCATTTGAGACACATTTAGCAACATATATACGTCGTGGCTTATTTCTTTGGAATTGCGCGGTTCTCAAAAGGCCAAACGTACATGAACGTAAATGAAGCTATTTATGTTTCGCTCACACAGAGATAAACTGGTGACAGAAAGTCTCCCACTAAATCAAAGGCAGCATTAGGTGGTTTTAATTCTCAGGGTCTTCCACGACACACGTGAAGTCTGGTAATGTGAGTGAAATTAAGGCCAATGAGGCCCGTCCAAACCGATGTGCAACAATACTTCTTACTGACCTTGGATGGAAATGAAATGGATGATGAGCCATGAATTTTTAAAAACTGCTTCAGTGTGTAAAAATGTGGCTGTTTCAGCTTTGCTGGGTGTAACATCACATAAATGTTGAGATTTTTTTTGTAATTATAGCTTGTTACTGCTAGTAACTGTGTAGTAACGACAAGAAACTATGATTATTATTTAACTTTCAGCCTTAATATATTAAAAACAAATCCATGGTAATCAGTGTTCCTGCACATAGCCTTTAGCTGTGTGCAGAAACACTGCAGTTAATATATGCTTAACGCCTTTCCCCCTCCTTTAATTTAAAGATTAATGTGTACAAATACATGTAATAAGCAAAGCCACTGAAGTGGATTATCACTTGATGGAGTGGCTGCAAATCTTGACAGCTCGACCAGAGTTGGTATATCAGATATAACCTCATCAGATAAACAGACAGTGTCACACATCTCCATTAACAGTCTTCTGGGGAAAGTACCCTTTAATACAGCTCTGCACTTGTGTAGCTGATGAGTTTGAATGAGCTCAAACTCAATGAGCATTTATTTTCTCTCTAATTTATTTGCTGTTGCATTTCATTTCCAGGCCAATTCACCCTCATAATCAGATGGCAATTAGTGAAGCATGAATCACACAGAGCAGCTCAGCTTATCTCAGCCCCCTTTCATGACACCTGCACGCTCACAACAACACGGTTTTGGAGAAGCATTCTTTTATTCCAAATAAAATCTTATTTAGTTCATTTTAAACAGCATTTCTAATTCCATCAGAACTCTGCAAAATGTAATAAAACTTGTTTCGTTGCATCATGTTTTAAAGAGGACTTCAAATATATTTTTTTTCCTCGCCTGCAGGGCTCTTTACAGCGTTGCAGTTTTCTGATACATGATTACATATCAACACGTGGGCCAACTCCTTCCAACAACAACTTTGGTTTTTGGTAAGAGAAAAAAAAAATCTCACTATGAACATTTAAGAATCTTTAATTCACACTAGTAATAAAATTGCATTACATTTCATAAAATAAATGTTCCAGTTTATATATACAGAGAAAACAGACTGTACATACCCTCCAGTGAACCATTTCTTAAAGAAAAAGAAAACAAACCTGAAACAAATTTCACAAAACATACAAGCAATACAGTGCTCAGCTAAGCAGGCACAACTGTACATCAAAATTTGTAACTGCTCAGTGTTGAGGGGGGGAAGTGGGAGGGGCAAAAAGTTTAACATTTACAATAGAGTCCTTAGGGACTGATAAAGGGGTCTTAAAAAGTATTGCAGGCAAGCAGACAGACGCTTGTCTTTTTTCCAAGTGCAGCGGAACATCCATCTCGTGTGTAACGTGTGGAGCCGGCTGTTGCTGCCGTCGGGGTCCAACTATTGGACCTGTGTCTCAAAGCTCCCATTCAGCTGACCTTCCTCATAGTCCATTTGACACAAAATCATGTTGTTTTTTAGGAAAAACTTGTCCCCGACGCAAAACCTGTTGGCACACAAAAACAAAAGGCGGAAAAAAAAAACATTGTCAAAAACAAAACGAAAAAAAAAGATGATTAATGCTGGCATCACGACAAAGTGGTGTGTGTTTGTTGACTGGTTGACTCTGCTCTGGCAGTGAAAACGCTGCGTTTAGGATCAGCAGGTACTGATGATTCTGTTTGATCGCACACATTTGGCTCGAGACATTTTACCTCATGCGCCGAGACCGCGGCTCGCCAGATTCAGAGTCTGTTTTGATGGCCATCGTAAAATGTGTGGCTTCAAATAAAAGTAGATTAAAACCCTAAACAGTTTCGAATCAAACAGACACAGGCGCTGGCACCCAATGAAAAGCAGGTCAGTTCTCCTTGGCCTGGCAAAAGCGGCGGTGGCGCCGCAAGAGTTTCCAAGGAAACTCTGCCACGGGGTTAGCTTTTCGCACACCAGTTTAGTTCCGGTGCTCGAAAACATTTTTCCTCCAAAGTCTCACAGTCAGTTGGAGAGGGGAAAATAACACATAGCAGCCTGCCCCACTGATGTTCTTCTGTGTGCTGCTGTTTGTTTGTGTGACACAGTGGACACAGCTCCATAATGTGACTGAAGGGGAGTGAAGATAAGAATACAGCTGAAAATGGCTTGGCTTTAGTAATGTGCCAGGCTGGTAACACAGTAAATAAAGCTGGTAACGGTCACAGCCGTGGCAATACTGTGCCAGATGAGACCTGGCTTTGTGTCTGCCAGCTGAGAAAAGAGACTGCAGTCATAATTCCCTTACAGCAGGTGTTCACTATGGTAACTGAATCTGGTCTGCAGAAGGTTAATGGGCTTGTGCTGTGTGGAGGAACAGGGTCACAGCACCCCTGACAAGCATGCAAAGGACGTTCTGCTTTCAGAGAGGTGCCATTACTGACAGTATATTAATGGGAAAAAGCAATATTTGGCTATGTCATATTCTGTGTACATCATACCATACAGTAGGCTTTGTGCTTGCTCCAATTCTATAATAGTTCCTATCCCTTAGGAAAACGCCATTTCACACCTGTGTCTATTCTCTTTTGTGCAACAGCACAAATCTGGAGGACGTCATTTTTATTTTTTTTGTGGCTCCTTTGCCTCCTCGGACAAATGAGAACAAAAGCTAATTTTACATCCCATTGGCTTAAAAGATTTACAGATCTAGCCACAAACAAGGACAAAGTGCTGGCAGCGTGACATAATAGAAAATAATTAGCAGGGCATTACAAATGCAATGCAACCTTGATTCTTGCAACACAAGCCAACCGCAATTTACTCCCCCCACCACCAATTATAAACTGTGGTCTGCAATAACGGAATGAAATATAAAATTTCTTTTCCACCTGAGATTTTTCTTTTAAGAACCTCGAATATTTAAGCCACTGGCCATTTTAACGCCCTATTTTTGTGTGTGTGTTTTTTTCTTAAATATGCAATGTTGTTGTGCAGTTATGACCCCCATTCTTACCTCTGGTTACAAAGCTGACAGGCAAAACAGTCCAAATGGTAAACATTATCTCTGGCTCTCATCACCATTTCAAAGGCTGGGATCAGTTTACTGCAGGCTGCACAGTTCCCCGTTGTACCAAAGAGCCTGAAAGACAGAGCGCACAGACAGAGATTAACCCACCTTCTCTTTACCTAGATGCAGTAAAAAGAGCAAACAAACACGTAGCGAAATGACAGCAAGAAATGTAAAAGAAAGAAGTTCAATAAAAACAGGGGCTTTCACAGGAAAAAGGGAGTGAAAATCGAATTGAAGGCAAAAATCTTTCTTGGCATCCAGTTAGTATATTTGTTAATGAGAGTTACAAACATAGATCTTAATTCTTGGCTAATGGTCTAATTATAATGATCACATGGTTTTAATCTCCTTCTTCAAAGAATTTCCCTCTCGCACACTGCAAAAGCAACGAAAACAGGTCTGAGGCAAACCATTTGAACTGCTGAAAGTTTTCTTCTTTCAAAACAAAACTACCTAATGAGTCTGTCTTCAACCAAATCCAGCTGGATTTTTTTTGCACATGAGGCTACACTCTATAATGTAGTCGTAAGTTCAAAAAGATTTCTGTTACAAGGATTCAGGCTCAAACCCTCGCTCTCTCGCTTTTCTCCGTCTTCCTTTTTCATTCAGAGAAGAACCTGAGACAGTGATGGTAGATGCAACCTTGAGGAGTTAACTAAATGTTTTACAGTGAACAGACTCACTGCTCAAACCTCACTGCGGCTTGTTTGGGCTTATTAGATAGGAGCCAAATGATAAAGGTCACAAACACAGCAAGGAGGCACTGGTGTAGATCTCCTCAAAGCCCAAAAAAAAAAAAAAAAAAAAGGAACCTCAAATGCTTTCCCCAGTCAGATTTACATTTTCATTTTCCAAGCGCCTGCCCCTATGTTTAATTTGGAGATTCTGAAGCACAGATAGATTTATATATTCTGCAGCAGGAAAAGGACCGCTTCACAGCTTTGCAAGAGGGGATAAGGCAACAGCAGATTGTCATTCCAACAGTATGTTAAACACTTTTTCCCCCCCAAACTTGTAGAGCTCAGACAGAGGAGTCCCCGTGTTGATATTCTGCCTCGTTTATGCGAGTCCCATTCAGTTGCTTTCACCTTGTTAAAGAAAATGTCTATCCAGCAGCTCTGCTTCTAATTAGGGGCCACTGCCCCAGAGGAGCAGGGAAGACAGAAACAGAGGGAGAAAGGTTGTTATGTTCCATGAGAGGGATTCACAGGGTGTTAAACTGAAACATTGTTACAACTGGTTACTGTTTCACTAACAAAAAGGAAAAAAAAAATACTGAATGTTCTCATACAGTAGACATCTGCCACCCACGGGGTGCTCTGTAACTCAAAGAATGTTTTTCCCCCCCCTCTTTAGAGAGACACAAAGACTTATCCAAACAGCTTTAAAAAATTGCAATCTGACACATTCAGTATTGATCTGAAAACAGAGCAAATACCAGTGCTACAGAACCTGACCTTGTTATCACACTATTCCAGCATTCATATTACAAGAGATGAGTGGGTTTGTGTGGACAAAGCACAAGTATTGGCAACCGTGAACTGGTGAGTTTCCAGCTTATAAATTAACCCCTTTTCTCTCTTTTTTTTTTTTTTTACCTGGAGGGAAAAAAAGAGAAAACTCCAGAGCAGCCAGAGTCATCATGACATTCAGAGACTCTTCCATGTAGTGAGCAGGTCATAGTGATGTCCTTTCGCTCCCTCAGGGAACCTAAGCTATAAAAGAGCCTAGAGAACCTTGGTCATTTACAGCAATTGACATGCACACACCTATAGCAGCCAGAAGGATTATTCTAACCCATCTCCATTACACCCTGCTGGGCTGCAGACATGGTGCTCAGTTGATACATACAGGTTGTGAAAACGCCTGGTGGGGAAGCCCAGCTTGCTCCTGACACCAAGTTCCACCTTCAGTCAGAGCAGCGTGTCACATCTGTGGCTACTTTTTACTTTGCGGCTATATCTATACTCTCCACAAACCAGTAATTCAAATAGTGTGGGTATAACCTCTTTTCCACTCTATTATGAGGGTTATTTGAGCTCGTCGTTGGGTACGAAACATTTACAACATAAAGCCTGCAGAACCTGGTAAACACCCACGTCTTTCAAACTCCACAGTGAGAAAGTATTCTGCTAATGGCACAAAAAAGGGGTTAGAGGCCTTCAGTATGGAAGGACGGTAACAGCTCTCATAACTGGTCTGTCTTAAGCGTCTTAATAGTCTTTCATGATAACCTGATTTCCTTATCAGCTTCGTGATTTGAAATCGCAGGCAGATATTTGGCACAGAGAAGTTGGAGTGCAAAAAAGTGCTCTCGGTAATCGCTGTGTCCCACTCATACTGTTCTTCAGCCAACAGCTGACGTGTCTGGGTTATAATGTGGCATCAACATATGGCTTAATTGAGCCCCTTGTGCTAAGAGGAGATTACAGGCTGAGTGAACTGTTCAGCACACATTATACTCTTTTCTTCCTGCTCCTATGAAACTAAAAGGCAGTCAGAGAGAAACACCACTGCAGCAGAGCAATAATGAGTTTCATACTAAAATGCAATGTTAGCCAACAGATCCCAACATATTAGCACAAAAATGAAGACGCAAGCTACTCATAGTCACCTTTAACTTGTACTTAAGTATAGATTGTGTGTGATCAAGGACTCTGCAATTATACACAACATGTATACTACAAGATATATAAAACCACAAGAAACTGCATTAATTTTAACTGTCATTTTTTATAAACTTGGCATGCTTCACCGCACCCAAACAGTGCATTTCACGAACATAAGCTGTAAATGGGTTTTGTTCATTAATTCATTTCATTTAAAGTAGATTTTCTTTTTGTTTGAATAGACTATTTTCGGAGGAATTCGAATGCATTGTTCTGACACATGTCCCGTATTGTAGGAGTGCAGTGGCTCATGCACTTCAATTTCCCTGGCCATTTGGATTAAATAAATCAATATTCTCTGAAGAAAAGTGTAAAAAAAAAAAGAAAGAAAGAAAGAAAAAAAAATCAACATCAACACCATTTTTTCAGCATTTATGACTGGCAAATTTCTCCAGCTTGTAATGCACCAAGGCCTGTGTGCTTTGCTGATCAATCATCGGTATTGTAGCAGTGTTTGTAGCAAGAAGCCCTCTTTTAAAATTGAACAATTCTGTGGTTCATATAAATGGATTAAAGGGTTAGAAGTGCTGATTTGGATTGCTCACCACAGCCTGTGACGCATTCTCATATGGATTTCTAAATGGCATAATGCAGCATAAGTAAAAGCAAGCTGGATGTGCTTATTAGATGAGTGTTGTGTTTTTGCAAACTTAAAAATGTTTTTACTGGCAGTAGCAGCAGAACTCAAACTGAAGTGGTAATGCTTTTAGGTATAAATACAAGTTACGTTTTGATAAAGATGTGCTAGCATCCTGCTAAATTTGCTATTGTTGATGTTTGGCAGTTATTACTGTTAAGTCTTAATCTTTGTGGAAAAGATCAACAATGAACATTAACCTTAGCTCTTAAATAAACTGGCCGAATCTTATCGTAACCACCTCGTAGTACCGCATCAACCAAGTAGAGCACTTTGCTTTCAGACTGATGGCTTGCTTTTGTTTCCTAAGTAGAATAGGAGGCAGAGCCTTCAGCTTACAGTTAGGTCTGGGTCAGGTGACCCTAAATCCTCCCTTAATTATGCTGCAATAGGCTGAGGCTGATGTGGGCTTCCCATAATGCACTGAGTTTCTTCTTCACTCACTGTGCACTTGTACACACAGTGTGTTTTTTGTCCCAACCGGTCGCAGCAGATGGTCGCCCCTCCCTGAGCCTGGTTCTGCTGGACGTTTCTTCCTGTTAAAAAGGAGCTTTTCCTTTCCACTTTCGGGGGTTGTTTGACTGATGGGGTTTTCTTTGTATTATTGTAGGGTCTTTACCTTACAACAAAAAGTGCCTTGAGGAGACTGTTGTTGTGCTTGTCACACTTGCATCAAGTAGTGGCTTGTGTGTGCTACTCTAACACAGCTGGAGTTCACAGGTCATTGGAGAAGTTGGTGATCAATGCAAATTTGTATAATAGCCTTGCCACCCCATAGTTTTGCAATGTGGGGTGGCAAGGTAAGAAAATGTTAACGACATTTTTGTACCACTGTTGTCGTTTCATGTTCTACGACATGTCTTTAACGCACACTGTGATGTTTTCGATGTGTTTTTTGCAGACAGAGATTAAACATTTTATAATTAAATATTTCAGACTGCTAAATCTAAGAGTGCAGTGGCAATGCCGGGGTGTGAGAATGTTACTATAATGGCCATGAAAGAAAGACTCTCTATGCCAGACGTACATTTTTACTTTAGACACTGATCACCAGTCTTGGTAAGTATTAGGATCAAGACAGCTTAAAAAACCTTAATATATCTGCAGTATAATATGCAGCAAACTGTATTATCAATAAAGTAATCTTGTGGTTCATTTAATGACCATAATTGACACCTTTCAGATACACAGTGATGAGTGACACCTTAAATTGTATCTGTAGACACGTAGAAATGAGAATAGATATGTGTGTCCTTGCTTAACAATGCTGAAATTACTCTTATCTCACCATCTCAAGATTATAGGCTTTGTTTGGATCACTTGCCGTCATTATTAAGGCTTAGGTCTAATTATATGCATGCTGACTTTGGGTTTTTAAACAATTAAGTTGCATTTTAGGTTCTTAACTTTATAGAATTTGTATACTTGCCTTATCCCTGCTTTCTACCATCTTCAGTGCAGGGGAATGAAGCCTATTCTCGACTCCTTAAAAGAGCTCCTATTTAGTAGCTAAAAATGTAACTTTGTGTGCTGGTGTGGGATGTTGCGAGCAAAGTTGGACGGCAGGAACATAAAGGAGCTCTCCTTCCTCTGTTATTGAGTTATTACAATGGGTCTTTAGAGAAAAGAGGGCCTTCTTTAGTTCTTTCAACTCGCTGCTTTGCTAACTTCAAACCCTTAAAGCTCCTACAGTGCATCATCTGCCTCTCTGAATTGCTTCTCTCAGATTGGGCTGTGGCTCTTGAAGTTTTCTACCTGTTCTCTGAGCTCTTTGAGACTTCGCTGCCTGCATAGGGTTTGTCAGATTTCATAAAAGGGAAAACTGTTAATGCATGCGTCGCGTGTTCTGACCTTCCCCAACAGTTGTGTCTTTTTTGAAAGTGTAAACCTCTGTACAGATCTATCTCGCCTGAAAAAGAAGAGCGACTGTTTCACTTCCTCAAGGAGTAAGAAGAAGACTGATCTGAAAAACAGTCACATCCATGTGGAGCCATCCTCTATCACATTGCTATTCAGCTGGTTTTAGGATAACTTATAATGTCCATTATCTTGAAAACGTTTTCCTCTTACAGTTAATTACACCACATTTTGATAAGTGGCTGACTATTATGTCCACTCTAATATATGAAACAGAATATTGAATTATTTCTAGCTTCATGTCCTGATGATCGTATCATCACTGTATATACGAGGGGTTAAAGGTTTTACGACTTCACCAAAAGACTGACAATAAAGAAAATGCTTAATAAAGCTGCTATTCTTACAAGGAAGTTGCTTACAAAAAGAAAGATGCAGGCAACTGACATCAGGTGGATTAACACTAAACTTTTTGATGGTGCATGGTTTTGAAGGGCACGGGAGGACATTTTGTGGTGTGCATTTTGTGTGTGTGTGTGTGTGTGTGTGCGCGCGCTGGAGTGTAATATTCAGTAAAGTGTGGGTGCATTCAATAAGTTGCTAATGCCACTGAAGGACAATCACAGATGGAGCTCCTATAATAATTAATGTGAGCATGGCAGGGTTCCAAACCCTGGGAAATAACCAAAGTGTGTTTGATCCACTGCTTGTATTTAATGAAGTGCGGGAGGCTAATTCAGTGTACAGATTTAACTTCATTACTGCAGGTGAGCAGAGCCTTCGTCTTACTACAGAGAAAAGAAGGAATGAAAAGGAAACCGGCGCTGCATGGAGACTGCATCACCTACTTTCAAATACTCTGGTCTCTCAAACTGCCTCTTTCCTATATACGCAAGGCAAGGGTTTTAATTTGTTCCATAATAGAATTCATCTCGAGCATCTCAGCCATTAAGTGTTCTGCATTTGTCGCAGGCTGAAGAGCAGGCGAGTGGGATGGATTTCATTAGACAATCTGGGGCAGCAGAGGAGCACAGGAAGCTCTCTACAGCTCCGTCCTTTTTATTCTTATTTTAGTATTCCTAACTCTTGATTCCATATGTCATTCTCTTCATTTCATCCCTTCTGTGACCTCTACATCTTAGTGGCCTAATGTGCGAGAAAGCTTTTCCTTCTCCCTTTACAGTGCCAGTAGGCACTTATGGCTTCAGGGTTGAGGTTGCTGTCCTTTCAGCTGATGTATTTTACCAAGTGAAACTCTGAGCTTCATCATTTTTGCCTTCTCTCGGTCATTTGCCCATTTATTATTACCTCATCTGCACCATCTGCCCCTTTTGGGGGAAACATCAGGTCTTAGTCAACCTCTCACTGCATCTTAAAAGCATTAACTGTGGGTGGGGACTGATGGATGGTAATGGCCTATCTCAACGTAACATCCCTAAGCACCTCTCAAGTGGGCTGTAGGCTTCTTCCAGGTCGAAGGAAGAGCTGAAATAAAAGTGAAATGTCATTAAAAGGCATCAGTGAGGTAGAGGAAAGCCAGGTTGATTAAAGCTCTCTGTGCTGAACTTTAGTGGCTATTTAAGTGATGCTGCTCTTTTTTAATTTACCATCTTAAATTGGAATAAACTAATCAAAACTTAAATGGGTAGCAGTAAGAGATAAAAGTGAACACGCTGTGAGACAAGGAGGCAGAAGGAAAATGGAGAAAGGGGAAGGGGGGAGGACGGTGCAGGGCAGGGTGTTTCGGAAGGAGGGGCCTAGGGCACCGGCATCTTTAAGTCGGCCCCAGGGGGATTCCCCCTCAAATAAATGGTAGGGAATGTGACCTAACGCCCAGGAAATGGTCATGTTTAATTTAACAAGCAGATGGCAGGGGTATCAGAAAGAAGGGGTGGGTGGGTGGGGGGGCAGCACTAGTGAAGCAACAAGCCTGCCTGGAGGTTTCTCACAGCCTACAGTGCTGATACAACCAAAAACATGTCGTCATGACAGAACCCTAGTTCATTGTTCATGTAAAGAAGAAATATATATATGGTTGGGTATCCACGTGGTTTATCGTAGATGTTGGAACTGTGATTTGTGTTTGTGGACAATTTATTTAAATAAAAAAGAGGAAGAAGGAAAAATGGTGTTCCAAAAATTGCCCGTATTTTTCTCCTTATGCAAAACAGATTAGCCTTCACCTATATACATTCTGTAAAAGAATAAGGCATTAACCTTATCTGATGGAAATTGATTTTAAAAAGTGTTCGCGACTCATACTGACAAAGCACAACAAACCCTACCGGGAGGGTTATATGCGAAACTGAAAAGAGAGGAAGGAACAGAAAAACAACAACTCTGCGATCCTTTTGAGTAACACAATTTTTGGAACGACATCGCTTTTGTGCTTGTTGTGAGGGGAGAAAGGTGATTGTGTGTCTTTCTTGCCTCAGGTAGTCCCTGCGACAGAGGATGAGGTTGGCTTTCGTATAGAGGGTGGAGCCCACCTCCCCCAGGCGGCAGTCGCAGCAGGCACATTTGAGACAGTCCTCATGCCAGTATTTGTCCAGGGCCTTGAGCAGGTAGCGGTCTTTAATCTTGCGATTGCAGCCAGCACACCCCTTCTGTTTCCCTTTGGGCTGGACGGAGAGCATCGGCACACCTGTAGTGATAAGGAGACAAACAGCCACGCGTGATTTACGGCCCGGGAACACGAGTGACTTTTCATGTTCTCTTTTTGATAAGCTGGCTGCTTCTCGAGGCGTCTAAGCCTGGCCTCGCACACGGCCACAGCACACTGCCTACCTGCTTCATATGCATTAAAGAAAACATTCTTCCATGTAGATAGGCACACAGGTCACATTGGACTACAAAGCCTCGACTTACTTGTTCCACTAAGAACATGCTGTAATACAAAAGTTACATGATCACTGGCAGCAGGCTTCAGAGGACGGAGCACGTCTCAGGTAGTTCTCAGAGTTATTTTGCTTACCGAGGTATTTACAACAAGCTGCGTAGTATGTTAGTGACCTATCATTTCATCAAAGCCCATTTCACTCAACTGTCCACAGCTGTAAAAGCTCCTCGTGGGCTTTGTTTGGTATAGATTAACATTAACCTTTTAAAAAGCCTCTGACCACAAAAACGTTGCTACCAGACCCCAGTGAGATATGTTATGGCCTAAGTGCCTTTTAGCACACGCGGGGACACACACACAGACACGGACTCATATACACACGTGTGTGTGCGCACACAAATTGCCAACACACACAGTGCTCCCTGCTCAGAGCATTACAGCCTTTCCTCCTTTTACACTTATCTGTACTCATGTGTCTGCAATGAGCGAGCCTAAGTTACCAAACTCGCAAATTGCCCTGCTGTCACGCAGGTCCCCTTTAAGTGCGCCTTTTAGCCTCCTAAAGGACAAATAAAGTCCATTTAATAACTGCACTAAACACTAATAGTCTATGTGTGGTTGACATTTGTGTTTGGACTAAAAGCCCCCCTCAGGCCACTGCTGGTACAGAGGCAGGGGTGCGCAGCTCCCCTCTGTAGCACTAACAGGTCTGCCACAGCTGAAAGCACAAGACAACAGCTCTTAAGACACTCTCTCACACACTGAGCTATTGATCCATCTAAAAGAACACACAGTGGACGCCACTTGCCACTCTACTTTCAAAACACATTTCTCTCCCTCTCTCTCGAAAAAAGAAGAAAAAAAAAAAGACTGGACAGTCTGCAACATGGGGGGTCAGGCCAACATTTTGTATGTGTGGGCATCTGTAAAGGGCCCCATTTTAAAGACGGGTTATACAGTTTTATATGAAACGTCACTGTTGCACTTTAAAGTTGTGCATGCGGTCCAAAACCGATATATTTTTATATATGAACACACACACACACACACACACACACACACGCACGCAGGCACGCAGGCGTTTCTCAGGAATGAAAGTATGCAAACATGTGACATATTGTGTAGTTGTGTTATGTTACGTGTGAATAAGGTCACCCTGTAGTTGGATCCGTTTTAACTTCTGCAGTTTACTGAGCGATACACACAACTTCAGCTGGTAACAAGGGACTGCTTCGCTCCGCGCTGTTTTTCTCAGCTCAATCTGTCAAGTTCGCTCTCCTTCACAGAAATCTTACACCGCTTTTCAGCAGAACTTCTTTGGAACAGAAAATCATTATCATTCTCCCTGCCTTTTTTCTCCTTCTTTCACATGCTCTCACACGCAAGCAAGTGGACCCACAAAGTACCTCATTGGATCCAGATTTGCGCTGCAATTTTTTAAGGGCCATCCGCACATCAATAA